CATCTTCACCGGGCTCCTCTCCCTGCTGCTGGCCACAGTCCAGGCCTGGAGGACCCTCTTCTTCCTCTGCAAAGGGCACGAGGAGTAAGTACTACCCCTGGGGAAGGCAGGGGGTGCCTATCCCTCCTGCAGGCTGGGGCAAGTGGGAGCAGCCTGGGGGTGAAGCACTGGGCTTTGCACCATCCAGATCATCCTGCTTCCTAGAGGGGTTTGGGGTGAGGCGGTGTATTGCCTGCGTCTGTCTGCACACACATGTGTGTTCAGAGCCCTCTCCGGAGGATGCTCCCTTGCAGGAATTTGGGGTGGGGGGCCAGATTCACTGCTATGCACCCGCTGCCCTTTGGCAGTCTGGGAGCAACATCTGGCCAGCTCTGCTGTGGTGGGCACAGAGGGTGCTGGGGGCCGTGGGGTGATGCTGGAGGCTGGAGCTCGCAGGTGCCTCCTTACCACGGTCCCACTACATGTCCCTGCAAAGGGGGGCCTTCCCCAGATGTACACCGGGTATGAAACAACATGGTTGTGGGTGGGAGGGGGCAGAAGGGAGTGGTTGTGGTCCCCCTCTATTTTTCTCCAGCTTTTGTGGTGGACATGGCAACTATTGCGGAGAACAACTATTGCTTGGTTACGACACGAGAGCAACGCTGAGCGCTCGCTGCAGCAGCCGCAGGGCTGCACTGGCAGCCGGTTACTGTGCTCAGACAAACCAAGGGGCACCAGAGCCCAGCAGGAACAGCGAGAGGCTTGGTGGTCCAGGCAGCAGCTCGGGAGCACTGTGCTCTGTGCTTGCCTCTCTGGTGGCCTGTCCTGCCACCTCGGGTAGAGCCCCTGGCACGGGTAACCCAGCCTGCAGGTGCTACAGGGCCAGGGCCCTCTAAGCATCCAGCTGCACAGAGGTGGGAAGGCAGGAGCACATGTTGGTGGCTGGCTAGACTAGGAAAGCCATTTTCCCATGGTTTAGGGACAATGCCAAGGGTAAATAATTCATTTCCAGGTCTATTTGGACTGGAGGTTTCTTGGGTCCATGGCTGTTATGCACATCTGGGCTTGTACAACACCCTGATGTTGGTAATACTGGGGACTGGATAGCAGTGTTGTCTCTCTGGCTCTTTCCGACAACTCTCAAGCTGCCTAATACTAAAACGTGCTATAGGAAGTATAGAGCAGAAACTTACTTCCATATTGAAACTTACCTTACAAGATCTAAATATAACCATGGACTTAATACATTTGAATTCAGCTTCCTCAAGTGATCAGATGCCTATAGACTATTAGTGGAATCCAAAGATGCCTTTTTCCATTTTGCAGTTCAGAACTAGTTAATTTTTGGAAGAAACCAGCAGTAAACCCCTTGTAATAATGAAATTTGGATCAGATGTTTGGCCTGCTTCCAAACGTGGCTATTTAGTTCAAAACTGTTGGGCAGGCCCCTAAAAATTGTCTCTTTAGGATCACTACTACTGGGCTAGCTCTGGAGTAAGTTGGCCCAAGGCAGTCAGGGGTAGCACCCTATGCATCCTAGCAAGGTGACCAGTCTTCATGTGCAATGGCTTTGAACGATTGCTGTCAAAGAGTTAAGACTGCTAAAAATCCTCTTAAAAGGGTCTCAGCACCCCTTGCCTCAGGGACAGACTGAGCTCAAGTTGCCCGCAAGGAGTAGGAAAAGCAAGTGCTGGCTGCCAGCCATGCTCTGGACCTGGGACCATTCAGCTCAGCTGGAAGGTAAAGGTACAGCTCAGGTCCTTCACTACTAGGATTGCAAAGCGACTTCTACTTTGAGTGTAAGCATTTATCGTTACAGGGCTTTCACTCAGTCTGGAATGTGTAGCTTGAAATTCTGATCTGAGGAGAAAAATAGGTGATGTAGAGAGCCAGATTAGCACAGTTCTCCACCAGGATGCCCTGGCCTTAGGAATCTCCAGCACACGGTGATGGTTACTGATTGCCAGGTGCAAATGAAGTGCAACGCTGAGCCCTGCTTTGTGGGTGGAAGGTCAGATTCTGGACCTTGGCACCTCTTATGCTGCAGGGTAGGAAGTAGAGGGAGGACTGGACGTCCTGAGCTGGTGATGATCCACTGAATTATCCTGGTAACTGTTTGTTTTCTAGAGCTGTTAACTAATTCTGGTGTCAACTCGGGTTTTATTCAGTGGACAGCTCAAGTCTTTTCTGCCTCTCAGGCCAGCACACCACGTTAAGGTACACACAGTGGATATGGCTTTAGCAACCCTTGAGATGAAATCCAGGTTAGGTGTGAAATCAGGGCAGGGGCAGTGAACATGCAAAACCATGTTGTGCTCGTACCCGCTCCTTCTGCTATATGGGTGACCCTGGCACTCGGCGGACGTGAGCTGATCTAGTCCGCCAAATCCAGTGAAGCCAAAGGACAAGAGTAGGATTCATCCCAATGTTCATCTAGAAGTCAGGTGTCCTGGCATCCAGCTCCCACTACAGTCTGCAAGGGCACTTCTGGAAGGTGGCTTATTTCACTTCTTTTCTATCAGTGTTGGGATGGGATGTTTGGAGAGAACCTAGACAGCCCCTCTAAAGCCACATCAACCCAGGAACAAACATCCTAACCCCACTGGTAATTGTTTCCTTATCTCATTTTAAAGAAGTCCTCTTGAGGTCACATATGTCTCGCCATGTATAATCTGTAGAAATTAGGATTGTCCAGCCCAGAACCTTCCCGGGATTTGAACACTGACTCGAAAAGCCTCTTGGCTTTTCGTGTAATGAGCCACCAAGGAAAAGAAATGACTGTTTTTTTTTTTCTCTGGGGTGAGTAGACTCCTTCTGTACCTAGCATAATGATAGTGGCACTGGTGGGAAATTTGTCATATTCATCCTTACCACCTAACCTAGATAGGATGACCTGCCTCCTGGAGTTGCCAGTCTTTCTCCAACCTAGAATAGATGTCCAGTTTTTAGATAATGAGGCTTTCCAAGTGCCACCTAGAGCAGTTTCAGGTAAAGAAAGACTTGGTGAGATAAATGAGAAAAGGATTAGAAAATTTTTCACTAGCTAGAATTAAGGGAGCGAGTTAAGCACCAAGGCTGGAAAATGAGTGGGCAATTCCTTGACCTTATGGAACCACTGTAAGCATCCCACCCTCTACCACTCCAAACACAGCACGTGCCTAAGGCTGGCCCTGGTTGGGCAGACTTAACGGAGCTGAGGTAAATTGACATTCAGCTGGCAGAAATAACATATTGACACCAGAGAAGTCCCAGGAGAAGCTGGCCTGCTCTGCAAATTGCCCATAAACTGAGATTCGTGTCCTATGATGGCAGTACCTTGTGTTACATTGCTTAAAATGATTATAGCTAACAGTACTGTGTTGTTTTATTTTTAGTTTCCCTCTCCTAGGCAATTTTTGTCCCAATTATCACTTTAGTCATGAAATAATTTTAGCTCCAGTTACTATATAATTTGAGCTAATGACATCTATTTTAACAATGGTGATTTTCATCATTACAACTAATGAAAGCCATGCTGTGTATGAACAATCTCCACTTAGTATTTATGATTTAAAGACCCATCCTTTTCTGGTGGAAAAAAAAAATCAAAAGCACTTACAAATGAAGATAATGTGACTCAAAATCATAATCCATAGTTTTTCAATGTATTAGGTGTTCTTAATTAAAGCAAATGTGTTTCAAACGGAAACTGTTATCTTTGTGCCCAGTGTATGCTGCCTAGAGAGACTGCTGATGTTGTGTTTCAGCTGTTTATGCGTTACATTTTTCTTCCCTTTTATTGCAGCTCTTTCTTTTATGCCTTCCTGAATCTGCTGATCAGCGTCTTTGTGGTGTTTATCACATTTATTGCTAGCACTATAGTGAGTGTAGGATTTAACATGTGGTGTGATGCAATTACCGAAAAAGGAAGCATGCCAAATAGGTTAGTATTGAAGAATACATTTTTTTCCTTTTTTTTTTTTCCATATACGCACAAATGAACAGTGGTGTTACAAACTGTAGTTATTACATGCAAGGTGAGCAAGGGGGAGAAGGCATTTGTGATGTGGAAATCCACATTTTTTTCATCTGGAACAAAAACAGCAAATAAAACTTTTTTTGCATTTAGTTCTCCACAAAGAAAAGTACGGTTTCCGTGGTGTTTCATGGTCTCTTTAAGAGTCACGATCATAAGCAAAAGAAATCCATTAGTTTAAAAAATTTTGTTTCCAAAGGAGAGCTAGATTTGGAGATGCTGTAAGAATGGGGGGAGTGTGGTCTTGTGAGCAGGACAGGGGACTGGGAGTCGGGGCTCCAGGTTTGCTGTCCTGGCTCTGCCACCGACCCACTGTGTGACAGCGGGCAAGTCACTCATCACAATGGACCATCATCCAAAAACCGGTATAAAGATGCTGGCCTCATAGCGGTGCTGTGGACGCCCTGAGAGCCACAGAATGGAAAGTACTTTGTAAGTGCAAAGTACAGGTGGTTGATACTTTCTTACAGTGCACAAAATGTGCAGCTCCTAAAATGGCCTACTGTATCCCACGATGCTTATGCTCCTTATAGGAAACATGATAAGCTGAGGTAGATTTTTTCCTATCAAAAAAATAACAATGAAGAGAGAGGAAAAGGTGACATTTTATGTCATATGATATTGAATAAACGTACTATTTAAAGCATACATTTATGTTGCACATTGTCATATGTTGTAAAATGCCATAGTAAATGTTCTGTTTAGGGCTGCAACGATTAATCGAATTATTCGAATATTCGGTTAAAAATTCAATTGCAAAAAACATCTAATCGAATATTCGGATAAGAACCCAAGATGACCGACAGCACTGAAAAGGAGAGAGAAGAGGCTGCAGAAATCAACCAAGAGCTAGAAAGACAACCTCAAAATCCTGGAATTTTTTTCACACCAGTAAAAGTCCAAGTTATTTGTAAAATCTGTAGGCAGCCTCTATCTTACCATCAGAGTATCGTCTCCTTGCTGGAGCATCCGAAACAAAAACACCCACACAATACCTTCTTCTGAGGCTTTTCCTGATGAAGTCAAAAGGTAACGGAGGCTCATACACTTTGTTTTGATGAGGGGTGAGGCAACCAAGCTGGGGCGATGCCAGATGTGTATATGTGGGAGGCTTGGGGGTAGCGGAAGAAGAGGGTTTTAAGTATTTTGTTGTCATAATAACTATTAAAGTTCCACTTACGGAAGATTGGTGTTATCACTTACATAATTATACATTGGTTTTTTTAAAGAAAGTAATTACATGCCTCTTTTAACCTAGTTTTAGAGAAGATTGGCAAGCAACCTGGTTACTGCAATAACTTGAATATCTTTTGATAGAACATGCCGTTGTGGCTGTTTGAAACACATGTAAGATGTTGCTTCATGTTATGTTTGGTTTGCCTGTTTGGAATCTCTGAAATAATTTTCTTTTTTCCCCTCCAAATGCCTTCCTTGGGTAGCTGTGAAGAATTACAGGATATAGATCTTGAACTGAACTTAGAAAACTCTGCTTTCTACGACCAGTTTGCTATTGCACAGGTAGGTCAGACTAGGTCATGATTCTATTCCAGTTCATTTGCCATTTGCTCATTGATCTGGGATTGCTGGAGCTGAACTACCATTCCTCTGAAATCAATGGGAACTTTTTCCACTGACTTCAGCAAGTGCTGAATCAGCATGATAGTGACAGGCACATTTGCATTTTAAATTCAAAATAGATAGTTTTGAATGCGGAGATGTCAAAACCTGACTCTGCCACTGATCATGTTACTCATGATGGAAAATTTACTGTTTCTCCAAAGGATGAGCTCAGCAAAAGTTGCAACACTCCGGTGTCCTGGACCTCTTCATTGCTGTTCAGAACAATGTCTGACCTGCACCAGATCATGGGGCTATTAGCTTTGCCTTCCATGAATTTGTCTGAGATCCCCTGAGCCCATATAAATATCAGACCATTGAAAATAATCCAAGATTACTGTCATTTAGATAGGGCTGTTTTCTGATGAATCTTTGAGAATTAGGCCTCTAAGGCTGCCAGACCTTTCTATTGAATATGCTAGCTCTAAGTCAACAAAGTCAGTGAACACTGGGACTTGAGCACTTGCTCATGTGAGCGCATACTAGCTCTGCAAGGAGGATAGCCCCGTCCATGCAGGGCTGCACCCATACACATGCTGCTTTTGTTGTCCTGCACGGGAAGAGGCATTAGCTTGCCTGGGGCACTCCTTGAAGGTAACCGTGCCTCTTGGACACAAGCTAGTTTCGTGCCTTTGTTGCCAGCACTGGCATCTAGACACCCAGCTCAGACATATCTGCATGCAGGACAGAAATATGCTGTAAAAGTGACCCCTTTATATGATGCTCGCCCAAGGCCAGGCTGTATTTTGTAGCAGATTTTGCCACTAGCTCCTAATCTGCCAGCTAGTGGGAGGGTAGCAGAAGTATACCTGTTATCTGTCTATAGCTTTGAGTTCATGGGAACTAAATGTCCATGTTCACCTTGTGAGCTTCCAGTTCTTTAGATATGGTCATATAAGGCCAAAGTAGTATCTCTTATTTCCAAGATTTGTAGAATAACTCAAAAATTTTCTTTACTGGTGAACTGAGATAATTGTAAGTATGGGCAGAAATACGTAAGAAAATTTCCAAAGTGCATAAGTTATACAGGAACATAAACTCCCTTTAAAAAATAGTGGCCCTTGCTTGTTTAAATTGGCTATTAGAGTAAACAGCGGTATTACTGCCTGGAAGTGTTTAAATTGTTGTATTTTTTTAATTAAAAATGCAGTATGTCAAAACTGAAATATAGGGATTCAATTAACGTTTCTTTGCTAACGGCATCATAGAATTAAAATGGAATTTCTGCCAGAAAGACTTACTACAAATGAGCGTCCTCTGAGGCAGGGAGGCCAATATTCAAGTACCTGTACCAATCAAAGTGTAATTATTTCTGCAAAGTTAAGCAAGAGAGACTGACAAGTTTGTGATGGAATCTATTGCAGATCTGAGGCTTTAAGCCCAGGTATCTCATGGCAGATATAAATGAGCCACCAGGAACTTGGATGGATTGGAGTGGGTTTCTCTTGCTGTCTGAGTTCATGTTAATGTGAACCAGTTACCCCAGAGTATAACAGTTCAATTGGTAAGATTTTCTCAAAAATATTTTGAATAGAAATACCTTAAAATGTGTACTTATCCAGGGATAGTCGGAGGCCCGAAGGACTTGGGAAGAAAGTTTTGGAAAATGTCTAAAAAAATATTGCAGTTCACAAAAGTGAGATAATCCCAAGAATTTTAGGCCGGCCAGAATGTCAGATATGGGAAGTTCAATGGATGCACCTGGATTATACAGATTTCTTTTTTTTATTATTGTACTTAGTGCATTTTTGCTTCAGTTTTTCTAGTACATAAAGAGTTTTTCCTTTTAAGGTAGGAATAACTTGACAGAGTTGAGGAACAGTGGGTCCAGGGTCTCACTGGGTGCGACTTGGTGTAACTCCACAGGTTTTGGTCAAGCTGAGATTTTGATATTCACCTGGACAGTTGCCTTTGTTTTTACAATACAGTACTGACCTCTTTATCATTTCTTTTCTTCTCTAGTTTGGTCTCTGGGCTGCCTGGCTGACTTGGCTGGGAATTACTATTCTGGCTTTTCTGAAGGTTTATCACAACTACAGACAGGAGGACCTGCTAGACAGTCTGATCCATGAGAAGGAGTTGTTGCTAAGAAGATCCCCTTCACGAACCTCTTTGCAAGATGAGAAAAGTGGCATGATCTAAAGTGTAAGCAAATTTCCAGGGCAGGATCTAGATTTTATTATTCAGTAGTGTGAGCTGAAGTTGAATCAGGGTATTGAGTGTGTGAGATCTTTTCTTTCCTGAAAAGAGATGTACTTGCGAATCACCCACTTCTTCCATGAGAAATTGTTGGCAGAAATACTTATATTAGGATACAGAGAATGAACGGCCCCATGTGCCATTGGCACAGCAAACTTTCTGTCCTGCACAGGCACAATCCGTAACCTGCTCTTGCTAGCAGACCTCCTACATGCTATCACTGGCTTTCAGGGCAGGGGCCATTTTTGAGGACTGAGCTGGCAAGATCAGGCTACAGAGTCCAGGCTATTTCTTCAAACTATTCTGCAACAACGGTTGTAACTGGGGCTGTGTCCAGTCCCTCTTCTCTCCCTCTCCTCCCTTTTGCCAGTAAAGCTGCCCCTATTCTCGCTTTATTCTGGGTACTTGCAGCGCTGGTCCAGGTACAGACTCTCACTGACTCTGCTTTTGCTGGGTATGGACGCAGTGCTGCCAGACCTGTTGCTCCTGCTCTGATTTTGAGTTTATTTAGAACATAGAGACCTGTGTTCCAGACTTGATATTTAATATTGGACAGTGTTAAGGAATTTCATGAAACCACGATATTATACAGTATCTGTCAAAAACTGTGTATCATTTGGAAGGATGGTGGAGAATTTTTGTGGTTTTTTTCTTCTTAGATTTTGGCATGACCAACGTTCATTATGACTCTTTAAGTGTAGTGTAGCTAGCAATTGCTGAAGCTTGCATACTAAGACATTAGGCTGAATAGATAGTATTAATGCTTGTGCATTTATAACTGTAACTTGGTCCCTAACATTGTATACTATTCAGTTTTGAGTATTAGAATTTACTTGTGATATTTATTTCATATAGGGTATGCAAAATTACTGTAAACTTTTGCATTGTAGGTATTGCTATATATCTATAAACATAGCAAGGAGCTTGAACAGCTGGGTTATTTTATAAGTAGTTCAGTGTTGAATGGGTCCATTCTCCCCACTCACGGGCAGGAGTTCCAGGGCTGATGAATTTTGCTGTGAAAAGGGAGAAGAACTGTTGTTTTGACAAAGCTCACTAGTGACTTTGTTGCTGCTTTCAGTTTTGCTTGGCCAGTGCTTTAACAAATAAGGTGGATGGTTGAGACGAGAAGTAGATCCGATAAAAAGAGTTACTCAGATGAATGCAGGATTTGCACAGCAGAGAAGTAAAGTTGTGCTAGAATTAGACACTTATCCCCAGGTACACATTACACAGAAGACCTTGATTCAGCAGAAAACTTAAGCAAGCAGTTAAGCTTAGGCTGAAGAAGATTTTTTCGGAGTAAACTGACACTGCCTGTGGCAGCTGTGTTTGAGTCAAGACTGAATTTATTGCAACCTGAGTGCAAACCATGCACGACTATATTGCCTGGTAGATAGGAAGGAGGGGAGAGAAGACAGCAGGCTTCTACCCCGTCAGAGCTCAAGCCCGGGGCTAGCACAGCCATGCAGATTTACTGTTGTCTTCTGGGGACTGTCTGTTGCTTAAAGTTAAGTACCGGCTTAAGCATTTGGTTGAAACAGAATTTGAAGTCATAAGAAAACTTTGAATTAGTAAGCATTTTAGGACATAAAATCTCACATTATATTTAACAGCCAAATTGTTCTCATGGGTTTAGGGAAAAAACCCTCCATGGGCTCTAAGCTGGGCCTGTGAACATCGCTTATAGCCCCAGCTGGCCACAGCTATCTGTAGAGAGATCTTGTTTTTCAGCATGATTTCTACCCACAAGGGAATGCAATTCCTTTCAAAGCTCTACAGTGGTGGCTTTTTTGTAGTTGTTAATTGATGTCAGAGGAGGAGTTCCTGAAGAGGGAATCAGAGATCAAGTTAGTTAATACCAATTTAAAATTCAGAGATCAGGACTGTTGGAGTGCCTTATTTTATTCATTTGATCTGCTAAGAGATGCACTCTTGCAGTTACCCAAGCCCTTTGCCAAGGCATCACCTCCCCTGTCATGCCCTGAAGAAGAGCTTGGGTCCTGAGAGTTAGCCTGTTTCCTATGTTTCCCCAGTTTTTTCTCCAACTGTAAAAGACACTACTTCTCCTTCCAGTCTCACTTTGAATTTAAGATTCATCAGTGATGTCTCTTCCCACAAATTACTTCAGTGCTTTACTCCTCATGTGGAACCATGCTTTTGCTTCGTGTAGTTTATTTTATGTATGTGCCAAATCAGGCTTAGACTGAAGTAACATGTGGGTTGGGACCACCGTTCCTGGTGGTTGGGCTTTTTTGTTTGCATTTAACTTTCTGCAACCTCTTCTCCTAAAGCTTGGACACTCAGGCCAACCTGGTGATGCTAGGCTGAAAATGTGTTAGAATAGCAGTATTATTTATACACACATACGTACATATCTACCTACCTATGCTCTCTCTCACACACATCTCTCTCTTGTGCATTTCTGACCTCTGCTTTTAGTCATCCATTGCCAACCAGTGCAGAGTGTGGCTGCAGTAGGAGTTTCTCTGAGTCAAATATTGCATTTCTGTGATATTTCAGTGCCTTCTTTTATTTGCCATCTCCAGAAGCAGGCCTCTGGGAACACTCTAGCAAGAAGTGCATGCAAAGAACTAGAACCCTGTGTGGTATTTATACTTGTATTTATTTGTTGTCACACGGTGGAAGGGAAAAAAGCTTTGTGGCCTTTGCCCATGCAGCCCCTCCTGCCGCTGCCCATCGCCATTCTGGTGGACAATGTGGGATGCAGTTTTTTAGGCACCGTGTTCCCTGTGATGCTAAAACCACAGTCAGAAGGTCTTTGTTTTGGCCTGTGAAAATTGCTAGTAATGCAGGGAGAGCCTTACTTGGTCGAATGCAACTGGATGCTGCTTTCTGAAGCACCGGGGCATTGCCACACAATTATTCTGTTATATTAAATATGTTCCCCGAGTCCTGGCTAACATCTGTGGTTAATTTCCCTGCCAATACCCTGCCAGCAGTCCACATTGGGTTAGAAAAATCTGAGCTAACAAGTGTCGTCTGAGCTTTTAGGTCAATGCTGGTTATTATTATTTTTATAATGGAGAAACAATTGAAGCCATTTTTTTGATTAGAATTTCCTCATGAGGGCACAAATGCTCATAACTTCTTATCCCACTAATTCATGAGGCATCTTTCAGCTGTGAACTTTCAATATGAATCGCAAAAATAAGAGCATGATGATTTACTTTAAAAACTGAAGGACACATGCGTGCTATGGCAATGTTTCTATGGTCCCTTAGAAAATTGGTTGTATAATAACCAGTGATTGACACTTGAGTATACAGACCTTGTCATGAAAGCATTCAGTGTCAGGAACGCAGTGTATGTGTGTATGTACAACGTACACAGATACATGCCAGAAATAATTCCACTACTTTTCTGTGGTATGGCTATAGGCTCTTCTCTTAACAGGCAGCTTAGGTCAGAGTAGTTGTTAGGTTGCCTTAACTTTCTACACTGCCTTTTTCTTACTTAGTGTTAGGATCTGTACAATGATACACAGGTTACGATACCCAGAGGTGGATGTGGATGTGAGCGGAGTAGGAAAGCACTGGCCAGTGCACAACCTCCAAAGGGCTGAGATGGGTTTCTAATGGGGGTTTGCAGATGTTTTAACTCCTCCCCTATCTCTGGGTAATGTCCTGATGTTAGCCTGTTTAGTCCTGTTAGTCCTGTTAGGAACAGAGAATCACATTTCCCTTCAAGACCTTCCCTCACCAACATGAAACACTGTTGATTTAACCTATGTAGTATTCCGGATGGAAGCAGAGCTGCAAGGAACGGGAGAACACCCTTTACAGTTATATTGCATGAACAAGGGGTACTTTTCCCCTGATTCAGGAATTCTGCACCATGGACTCCTAAATGACCAGTGACCCTGGCATGAACATGGTCCTGTTGTTAATTCATTTAAAATACAGACTTTCAGGTGACAAACAGAACATATTTTGATAGGAGTGTCAATCCTTCAGTTGCTAAACCATACCCTTCTGCAACACAGCACAATATTCTGGCTCAAAACAGCCAGTGTGTCTTTTTGTAAGTAGTTGTTTCTTTGCTGTTAGAAAAGATAAGGTGACAAAGGGGAAAAAAGATGTATTTATAATACAGTTATTTAGTAGCGGGAGTTTAGATGGGAGAATTCATTGGAAAACTTATTTATTGTCTTAATGGTTAAAGAAAGTCAAGCAGATCTTTGGTTTAACAAGTTAGTGTGTAGTTCTTGAGGGATAGAAGGACTAAGCTGATTTATGGTGTCTGAGAATCTAACCAATCTAACCCTCTGTATTTAAAATAATATGAAAACTCACCTTAAGAAAACATGTGCACTTGCCGTGTTTCTTCTAAATCCCCAATGTAAATAGAGGGTCAGAATGCCCTAGGCTGTGTTATTCTGTGAAATGGAAGGCTAGACTGGACAAACTGATTCCTGGTTTGAGGGCTTTGGGGTTTCTAGGTGCAATGGCTGTTGCATGTGAAATGCATGACTGGTTGAGAGAGGACACTCAGGATTACCCTGGACACCTGAAGGCTCTCATCAGTGAGATACGAAGCCGTGCTTCACCTTCAGTCGTCCTCCAGAATCTTTTAGTTTTTGTTGCATATTAGTCCAATCTCAATTGTTCGGACCTCATGCAGCTTAGCCCTTAGGTTGATGGTTGGAGACCATGTCCTGATGGGGGACGTGCATAGGAGTCTCTTCAGGCTGATCTGGGTGCAGAACGTAGGGTCCCCTTGCTAGGGAAGTGTGGCCTATACAGACCATTGTATAGGCTTTATGCTGGAAACAGGGTTTCTGCACAACCTCAAATCACACATCGATCTACATGATGGGTCTTAGAAAATGCAGTATCAAATGTGCAAATTCAGAATGGATGCCAGCTGCAAAATGTTCAATGCAAGAAAGTACATGCAAACCTGGTGTTTGAGTGAATGTA